AAATATCAGGAGGCAGTCAAGCCACATGTATTATCAGTTCTCAGGCTGTCGGGGTTGTTAGTCTTGGTTTGTCTGTATCAACTGGTCCATACAAACCAAAAATGACAGCTAACAGATTAACAGAGAATGATACCTAAATAAATAGAAAAGAGGAAGAAAAAATGAATTATACTTCTCTTTTGGAGCTCTCCTGTGAGAACAAAGCTGGAATTGATATTTTTCTGGGGACCAACTGATTGTGGCCATCAAAGTTCTGAGTTATGAGAGGCACACATTTTTAGCATTAGACAGTAAGTTATCCTAAGCAAAAGTGTCTCCAGGCAAAGAGAGGAGACATCAAGCACTGTGCTTTTGGTAGCTGTGGATTTGCTAAGTTGTTCCTAGAGCAGCATCACGTTGCAAAATAAGCAGTTTTCCAGGAATCAAGGGAACTAGGTTCAAGTTACTGCCAGAGAGGCAGAGAGGCCTCTACAGCTGATGAGAAATGGGTTCAATGCCAAGTACTTTTCTTACAACCTTGGAAAAGTTAACCATCTAAACCTCTGCTTCCATACCTGTAAAATGGGGATAAAAATACCTGCCCCACCATGTTTGTGGGGATCAAATGAGATAATGCATGCACCATGCTCAGCATGTGCCTCACTCACATGGAAAATGTCCCAAGAGGGTGGGTCATTTTTTGCTACTGTTGCCAGTGATTTGCTGTTTAATGTTGGGCAAATTGCTTAGCTCCTGGCTACACTGGAAATAATGTTGCTGCCTCATCTACCTCCCAGAGTTAGTGTGGAGGTCAAATGAGAAAATCAATTGAAGGAAGGCAATGTGATGTGGTGTTAGGTGGGAGGCATCCAAGCTCAGCCTCAGGAAACAGAGGCTGCACCATGGGTGCAGCTTACTGAGCACCCAGAGGCAAATGAGCAAGTAGAAAACAAGAGCACACACATTAACACAGCAAGTAGCCTTTGAACATGTGTCATAATCATAGAGTAACTCCCTTTGGTTCCAGGAGGTTTTTTTGTTTGTTTGTTTTGGTTTTTTTGAGACGAAGTTTTGCTCTTGTTACCCAGGCTGGAGTGCAATGGCACGATCTCGGCTCACCGCAACCTCCGCCTCCTGGGTTCAGGCAATTCTCCTGCCTCAGCCTCCTGAGTAGCTGGGATTACAGGCACGCGCCACCATGCCCAGCTAATTTTTTGTATTTTTAGTAGAGACGGGGTTTCACCGTGTTGACCAGGATGGTCTCGACCTCTTGACCCTGTGATCCACCCGTCTTGGCCTCCCAAAGTGCTGGGAATACAGGTGTGAGCCACTGCACCCGGCAAAAAATTATTAATAATTTCAAGACAGCAAGAGTCTTATCTGGCTAGAAGGCTTATAGATAAGGTAACAACACCCCTGTCCCATTTCCTTTATAATTATTACACATGGTTGTTCAGTAAATATTGGATAAGCAAAGGAATGCATTCTTAAGTTTTTGACTACTGTGTGAGAGACATCTTGAGTGACACAAACTGAAATCAAACATGAGCACTGCAGTGCCTCAAAGAGTATATAATCTAATGAACGATACAGCTGCATCATAATTGCCTCAATGTTCATTCAGCTCTTCATTCTGCTTCTGTTCTGGGTAAGCTGTCTGTGTTGGTGTCCCTATGCACCTATCTGTTAAGCGCATTTGGAAAGTACCTACTGTGTACCCAGAAGATGGGGACACAGTGGTAAAAGGCCTGCTTCCTGCACTTAAAGGTTTTATAAACTACTGGAGGCGGGGGAACAGTAAAGTGGGAAGAAGAAGCAACAGCAAAAGCATGTGCATTTACATCACTTCTTGATAAGTACAGTGACAGAGTATTTGGGGGCTGTTCTGAGAACACAGAAGGATCTATAATGCTCACAGCATGTGGAAGGGGCTCTGGTTTCCAGTTCTAGGCAGCCACTTAATGCCGTCTGAAACAAAATATAATGCACCTCACCCCCTACTCTCCCACACCCTCAAGATCAAGTGCGATAATGTGAGTGAAAGCACTTTGTAAACTGTAAAGCATCATTCAAATGTTAATAAAGGAGTTTCTTGACGACAAAGTCTTTTCTGTTTATAGCAGTATTATCGGGCTTGTTTATTTGGATAAAGTACATATTTCTCCCATTCTGTTTGGAGTTTGGAGCCTTTTTTTTTTTTCTTTTGCCTAGTGGCTTAATTTCTTTTCTACTAAGGAGAGGCCAACCTCAACTGTATCCCCCTTTGCCCTGGATTCTAGAAAGTCCCATGGCCCTGAGCAGGTGCCAGAAGTGGCTTGGAAGCAGTTAGCGGCAGTGCTCAGTTCACACAGAGAGGAACAGCCTGTTCCTGGAATGTAACTTTCCCTGAATCAAATCCTAGCTGAGATGGGAGCCTGAGCTGGAAAACTTCCAACTTTTACTGCAGGGCTTTAAAGAATATATTTGTTCCAGCAAAAGAATTGTAACTCGAATGCAATACAGTAAAATGTTCTAGAAAACACTTAACCTCTATTGGCTTGTGAACACCTTTTTCAGTTATATAAAAACTTGCACATTTTTAGAAACTTAAATTATTATTTTTGCCTTGAATATGATAAATAATTTTTGTTTTTGTCTTTAGCACCTTAGTATTATAATGCTAATTTTAAAAATATATATATTTTATTGCGTTTTAGGTTTTGGGGTACACATGAAGAACGTGCAAGATTGTTGCATAGGTACATACATGGCAGTGTGGTTTGCTGCCTTCCTCCCCATCACCTATATCTGGCATTTCTCCCCATGTTATCCCTCCCCAACTCCCTACCCACCACTGTCCCTCCTCCTCTAGTTCCCCCACACAGACCCTAGTGTGGTGTGATGCTCCCCTCCCTGTGTCCATGTGTTCTCATTGTTCAACACCCACCTATGAGTGAGAACATGCAGTGTTTGATTTTCTGTTTTTGTGTCAGTTGGCTGAGAATGATGGTTTCCAGGTTCATCCATGTCCCTACAAAGGACATGAACCCATCGTTTTTGATGGCTGCATAGTATTCCATGGTGTATATGTGCCACATTTTCCCTGTCTAGTCTATCATTGATGGGCATTTGGGTTGGTTCCAAGTCTTTGCTATTGTAAACAGTGCTGCAATGAACATTCGTGTGCATGTGTCCTTATAATAAAACGATTTATATATACCTTTGGATATATACCTAGTCATGGGATTGCTGGGTCACATGGAATTTCTATTTCTAGGTCCTTGAGGAATCGCCACACTGTCTTCCACAATGGTTGAACTAATTTACACTCCTACGAACAGTGTAAAAGTGTTCCTATTTCTCCACATCTTCTCCAGCATCTGTTGTCTCCAGACTTTTTAATGATCTCCATTCTAACTGGCATGAGATGGTATCTCAATGTAGTTTTGATTTGCATTTCTCTAATGACCAGTGATGATGAGCATTTTTTCATATGTTTGTTGGCCTCTATATGTCTTCTTTTGTAAAGTGTCTGTTCATATCCTTTGCCCACTTTTGAATGGGTTTGTTTGCTTTTTTTTTTTTGTAAATCTGTTTTAGTTCTTTGTAGATATCAGCCCTTTGTCAGATGGGTAGATCACAAAAATTTTTTCCCATTCTGTTGGTTGCTGATTCACTCTAATGATTGTTTCTTTTGCGGTGCAGAAGCTCTGGAGTTTAATTAGGTCCCATTTGTCTCTTTTGGCTTTTGTTGCCAATGCTTTCAGTGTTTTAGTCATGAAGTCCTTGCCTGTGCCTATGTCCTGAATGGTGTTGCCTAGGTTTTCTTCTAGGGTTTTTACGGTGTTAGGTCTTATGTTTAAGTCTTTAATAATGTAAATTTGATGCGATATGTAATAATATTCATAAAAGGAAACAGATGCCAATTTCCCCTTTTAACAAATGAATCAAGGTGACAAATCAAAATAATTGTCTAAAAATAATTTGTCTATGAATAAATTTTGAAGTAACTTTGTGTTTTGTTGGGAGATCATGTGAATATTAAGACATAGACTGAAATTTAACTATGTGATGAACAATAGCATAAAAAATAGACACAATTTTTTCATTATCTGTTATTGGAATTCGTAAGATTTCCCTTGAGTTATTTTGATAAATTTTGGTGTTTTGTTTCTAAGTGGCAAGAAAAAGGGAAAAGGTTTTAGGTTGCTATTTGCAAGCATGTTCTAGAAAATAAAACATATGATGTGGCAAGTATTTTCATCAAATGAAAAGTCATATTAGATATATTGTCACTATCAGTTTTTTTTTTTTTTTGAGATGGAGTCTGGCTCTGTTGCCCAGCTGGAGTGCAGTGGTGCCATCTCAGCCGACTGCAACCTTCACCTCCCGGGTTCAGATGATTCTCCTGCCTCAGCTTCCTGAGTAGCTGGGATTACAGGCATGTGTCTCTATGCCTGACTAATTTTTGTATTTTTAGTAGTAGACAGACACCATATTAGCCAGGCTGGTCTTGAACTCCTGACTTCAAATGATCTGCCCACCTTGGCCTCCCCAAAGTGCTGGGATTGCAGGTGTGAGCCACCGTGCCCAGTCTACTCTCAATTTTTAACATGTCTTTTCAAAATATGAAGGAATCTTGGTTGCAACTGTGGAAGAATTTTAATCAAATGACATAATAAAAATCTGAGTAAGAGAATCATTAGGCTAAATTGCAGAATTTTTATCATTTGAGTTTGTTCAGTCATTAACTTATTGCATGTTAACATGAGTGCTCCATAAGCACCCTATCATTAAACAGTGCTTAATTGTGGAATTACGTAACACTATATAACCACTTTAAAACAAGCTGCGAATAAAATAACAACAAAAATAAACTGCAGATGCACGGCAGGGCGGGGCGAGGAGAGCCAAACGTAAAGACATCATGAGTTTCCCGGGTCCAGCTCTTTCTGCTGCTGGTGAGCCCCAAGCCTGGCGGGTTCTTATGGGGAATAGGAGACTGGGCAGGCGTCAGGCTAGTCCGATGGAGACTGGGTGTGATCAGCACTGGAAAAGATGCCTTCTCCTGCTGCCACATATGAAAGAGTAGTCTACAAAAACCCTTCCGAGCACCACTACATGAAAAGTCTGCCTAGAATTTCAAGATTGTGGAGTTGGACTGAATGCTGTGCAGAGAAGACCTTGTCAGCCATCTTGAGAATATGTAGCAGTGGTCTTGTCAAATTGTGGAGCTCTTTGACCTTGTTAAGATCCTATAAAGGCAAAAAATGTACTTTCCAGGTGATTCAGGTTTCTCCGTTTCTCCTGGCATTATCTGGTAATAGTAGGGAAATAGTATTGGATTGAAGGAATAGTCTTCTATTTTGGAAACATTCCTCCACTCTCAGATTTATTTTTTGGTGCTTGCATGTTTGAAGACTGAAGCAGGCTAAAAGCTCTTGATGAAATTTGGGGGTGCTGAAGATGTTCCCATTAATTTCCAGCCATCACCTTTGGTGGGGTGGGCTTCAGAGGAGAGTCTGCCTGAACCTCCCGGTGCTGACCCTGCAGCACTTTCAGCATATGCACATCAGACTTGGAGACCGTGGGGAATTTAGGAGAGCCTTCACACAGATGTGGCTACCTTCTCAGAGTTAACAGGGGATGTCAATCCTTTGCATCTAAATGAAGACTTTGCAAAACACACCAAGTTTGGAAATACAATTGTACACGGAGTTTTGATCAATGGACTTATCTCAGCTCTCCTGGGAACTAAAATGCCAGGGCCAGGCTGTGTATTTCTTTCCCAGGAAATTAGCTTTCCAGCCCCTTTATATATTGGAGAAGTTGTTTTAGCTTCTGCAGAAGTGAGAAAGCTAAAGCGATTCATTGCTATTATTGCAGTGTCATGTTCAGTAGTAGAAAGTAAAAAGACTGTTACGGAAGGCTGGGTTAAAGTTACGGTTCCAGAAGCTCCTAAATCCTGAAATACGTGTTTAAAGATGCAACCTCAAACACCAATGCTGTTATTAAAGAGCCTTTGGGGAAAATAAATAAATAAACTGCAACTTTCTTGTCAGTGTATGGGGCTTGATTAGATCGGAAATAAATTGTGAGAATCATTTCTTGGGAACAGGGAAATTTGAATATGGACAGGACATTAGATACTATTAAGGAATTAATGTTAATTTTGTTAAGTGTGATAATGGTAGTATAGTCTTATAGGAAGAAGTTCTTATGCCTATGTAGTGCATACTGAAGTACTCAGAGATGAAGTGTCACGACATCTTGGGATTTATCTTAAAATACTCCACACACAAAAATAAAATATGGCCAAATGTTAGTAACCATTAAACTTTGGTGATAGGTATATGGGGCTTCTTAAACTTTTCCCTCTACTTTTTTGTGTGTTTGAAAATTTTCATAATAAGTTTTTTAAAAATGTCACCAAGTAGTCCAAGCCTCTCACCCACTCCCTCTAGTGGCTAGTGGTGGTGATCTGGGTGCAAACAGGCTGTCTGTGGCAGTCTTGAACATGCTCAACTTGTCCCCTCCAAAATACCACCAGCCACTCATCAAACACTTACGAGGACCCTCTCAAACTTTTTGTTCTTTTATTTGTGGTTATTGAGTTTTTAAAAATAGAAATGGAGGCAGACATCATTAGTCCCTTTAACAACCTGAATCCAGAGGAACAACTTCTGGACCCTCATGAATTTGAGAGCCACCAGCTGGGATTACCTGTAGTAGGACAGCCAGTGTCAGAGGAGGCTGGTGGGTTCTGTCCACCTGCCTGCGGTTGGCAGGAAAGGTTTTTATCAGCAGCCTGTTACTTAAACTTAAAAAAGAACACCATGTCGAAAGCCTCAGGTCTTCCCTTTCTTTCAAGAGAATAGGTATGTGTAAGGTGGTGGGAAAGAAAAATAGGTATTCTCTTATCCAGCCTCCTTTGAATCTCCCTCCAGGTTAACCATGTCCTCTAAAACATCTGCAGACCCACATCCAGGGCACCAGAAAGCCCACAGTGTGGAGGCCTTTTTCTAATTCTCCCCAACACTTTTGCCCCTACCAGCTGAGCTGTCTGCTTACCAAGGGTCACTTCTGCTTGTTCCAAAACTCTTTCATGCCAGTTGTTCTTACTGTTATGTTTAAAGCACAAACCAAGAAAACTTAAGTGTAGGACTCCCACCAGATGAAACATACAGGTCACAAAAAAAGCACAGCTTGTATCTAATCAAAAGTTTGGTGGCTGGGCCAGGTGGCTCACGCCTATAATTCCAGCACGTTGGGAGGCCAAGGAGAGCAGATCACGATGTCAGGAGATCGAGACCAGCCTGGCCAACATAGTGAAACCCCATCTCTACTAAAAATACAGAAATTAGCCAGGCATGGTGACGCATGCCTGTAGTTCCAGCCACTTGGGAGGCTGAGGCAGGAGAATCACTTGAACCTGGGTGGCGGAGGTTGTAATAAGCCAAGATTGTGCCACTGCACTCCAGCCTGGGCAACAGAGCAAGACTCCATCTCAAAAAAAAAAAAAAAAAGTTTGGCAATCAAGTGAACTTTTTATGTCTTCAAATAAAATATGTAAGATGTTTAAGATGTATATTTAAAGTGATTCTCAACCTCTACCAATTATATTAGTAAGCCAATCAACTCTTCCACCTTGATAGTGTTGGATCAGAGGTTTTCCTCCATCCTATGATTCTCTATCCAGATTCCAGTGAAAATCATTCAAAACCAAATCATTAAAAAAAAAAAAAAACTTTTTCCACTGAGGGAATACACAGATTCTACACCGCCCCCCCAACTCTCCGTTGATTATATCTCCTCCCGGCATTTTATTTAGGCTACTATTAAGATCCATTTGCATTTTCTGCGTGTGCACTGGTAGTTGAGGATAGACACTTTCCCCACCCATCCCCTTTATACCCCACTTCAACCCCAGAGTGTGTGAGAAGGCCTCTTGGCCTTCCAGATTTTCCACGGGTGAGCCACACATTGGGTAATTCACACGCCCATCATCAAGGCCGAACCATGTTAGAAAATGGAAGGACAGTAAAGTCTGCAAGAAGCTCTTCTAGAACATTTCACTCAGGTGCCTCACGTCAGTCAGGGGTTTGGGCCTCACCTCCTGGGGAAAGTCAGAGAGCAGGTGTGACCAGCTGCAGGAGGGGGAATCCTGGAATTGAAAAACCTGGGCTCTTTAGAGCAGCGTCTGAAGGCCTTGAAGTTTAGCCTCTGGAAGAAGCTGCTGGGCACTGGCCACAGCCCATGTGATGACACTGGCACGGGGTAATGGGTAACCTACCTCCACCCCTGTCTACACTTCTTGGAGAGCAGCTTAGACCCTCATCCCAGTGCCAAGGTAAGAGATAGATCAGGCCACAGGTAGGTAGAGACGTAGCCTTTGGACCTGTCCCAACACGGCCCAGGATTCCAGACTCAGGAACAGACACTAGTCATGCAGGAACAATCTCACTGTTCCTGAGAAGCTGGCTACAGTTAAAGGTGGAAGAAGTGTTCCTCTCTGAGCCTCAGTTTCCGAATTTACTAGCTGAAGAGAGTGGATCTAATTGTCTCTCTGGTCGCTTCCAGCTGTATCTGCCCGTGAGGCTGTGACCCACCTGCAGTGGTGAGCTCAGCCAGTCACTAGCAAGAATGGATACAGTTCAACAGGTCCCTTATCATTGGGGAAGGGGGTGGGGGAGTGAATGAGACATCCCTGAAATTGGGGTGAGACCCTAGGTCTTGCAAAAAGGTAGGGCAACTCTGCCCTTTTAGACGGAAGCAGGAGATGAGGATGGGGCAATGGTCTGTCTTCGAAGGTCTTGAATCTGCCAGTTAGGGAAGGGGGTGCTCCTGCAGGCTAGCGCAGGAGAGGGAGAGGGCGGTGCTGCTCTACGACCTAAATCGGCTTTGTGGCCAGAGGAAGAGGGTGGGGTGGGGAGTTGCTTCATTGTGTAGCAGCGTCTTGGGATGGGGCCGACTTGGGTCTCCGTCTCCTCGTCAGGGCTAGGTGGGAAGGTTCCAGGGCCCGGCGCCCCGGTCACCAGCCTAGCCTGCCCCCTGTAGACGTCTCCACTTCTGGGCAGGGGAGCGGCAGGGGTCAGTCAGCTTTGGGAGCCCGGAATTCGGGCATGCTCCAGGACCGCAGCGGCGGCGGCGTGTCCCGCTCCACGTCCTCGGAGATGGTCTGGATGTCGCTGGCGAAGGGAGAGATGCGCGCGCGGGTCTTGAAGGTGGTTAGGCTGCTGCGGGGCCGCAGGCTCCACTGGCGCGTCAGCTTATGGGCCTCCTCCTCCTGCTTCATCCTCTCCAGGACCTCTTGCAGCACCGAGCGGAAGAGCCGGGACACCTCCTGCACCTCTGGCTCCTGCTCCTCCAGCAGCTGCCGGAACCTGGGTGGGAGGGGAGGGCACGTGGGACCATTCACCCGCAACAGCGGGCCTGGCGCCCGGGGTGTCTAACCCCGAGGGGCTGCCCGTACATCCTGGTGGCCAGTTTGCCCACGCTACTCTGCCCCTGAAGCGAATCAGGAACCACCCCACGTTGCTACTGCTTCAACCAATCCTGAGTTCAAAACCCAGCTCTGCCGCTTCTGGCCTCCGTGGGCCTCAGCCTCCTCGTCTGTAATCTGAGGTGATAGCTGCCTTTTTGTGAGCTATAATGAGCTAAGGCGTGTAAAGATCCTGACACTTACCTAAGGTTGTTGATGACAGAGCATTAAGGGGAGTCCTTTGCTGTGGCAGCCTTACTGGTGGGAGGCCTTCTGGCCAAGCCTCTCCTGTCTCTTTACCCACTGGCCAGCATGATCTTTCTGAAACATAGATCTGATGATGTCACTGCCACTGTGATATTCCTTCCAAGTGAGCTGTTTGCCATGCACGGGGATCCCCTGATACTTCCCCAGTAGACCCTGCACATCAGCCGGGAAGAACCGCTTGTGGCCCCCACATGTTCCAGGTTCTCGCGGGGGCCTGTGTGTTTTCCCAAGCTGTTTGCTGTGTCTGCTAGCTCTGCTTAGAGCTCATGAGTTAAGGCTAGCAAGTCTATTTAATAGCAGATTTCCTCCACCAGACTGAGAATCAGGACTTCTCAGTCTTCTCAGCAGTGACATGAGATGGGAAATGAGACAGGAAAATCATGACCTGTGTGTACCCAGCCTTCCCCCTCACTTTTGAGGATTGATTTGCTAGCCCAGATTCCCTTATCAGCAGCTCCATCCCATGACCCACCCCTGTCTCCAGGTGCTTCTGGAATGGATACACCTTGGGAGGCTTCCACAGTGCAGAATCAGAAAACTGGGGGAGGGTGAGATTCTCCGCCTGGATGAAGAAAGGGGAGGGGTGGTAAAAGCAACTACAAAAACCAAGGAGTGTGGATGGGGCTGAAGAAGGTGAGTGGGGCTGAAGGAGAGGAGCTTTTAAAGGCAATTTCAAAGAAAAAGGTATACAATTAATGCATATGTTGGTTAAAGGGATGGGCGAGGGAAGATTTTGGGAGACTAACAGGAATTTTAAGATGTTTTATTGTGGATTTATATTTCTTTACCAAGAGAAGTGTAGATAAAGAACTTGAGTTATTTTGAAATTACCCAATGCTTCTTTGACATTGGCACCAATTCTTCTGAGACAGGACCATGTGGTCACAGCTTCAGTAAGGTTACATTTATATTCAGGAACATTGTTGTACCCAAGCAGTGCCCCAGGGTTCTGTCTGAACTTTTCCTATATACACACATACACTCTCCCTCTCTCTCTCACTGTCTCTCTCTCTCTCTCTCTCTCTCTCTCACACACACACACACACACACATGGGCACTCATTCACCTGTGGGCAGACTAGTGTGAAAGCTAACATAAGCTAGGATAATTAAGAATCCGATTTTGGAGAGATATCTGGGAAAACTTCTCCAAGAAGATAATATTGAAGATAAATTGATGAAAGAAAAGAAGCCAGGTAAATTAAAATCCAGGACAATAAGCAATCTGGGCAGGGAGAAGAGAAAACTCAAAGGCATTGTGTTCTCATGAGTCAAAATTCACACGCCTCCAGGAGCTGCCTCCTGCCTCCCACTGGACTCTAACCCTAGCCCAGCATTCCTGGTCTCTTTCAGATTCTTTTTCCCCTCTTGCTCCTTCTAACAGATAACTAGGTCATCCAGGCTCCCTGGCTCTAGTCATGGTGGCCTCAGGCCCCTGCCACTGCAGCCAGCTTTCCTGGAGCCTACAGCCCAACAGAGGTCCTCCTCCCAGTGCTCACCTGAGGATGGCAGGCCCACAGTAGGATGGGTGAATCTTGACGCAGACATCCTCCAGCTGAAGCCACTCACTGGGGCTGAGGTCATAGGTGGGCCGGGGTGTGCTGGCCAGCCAGCTGTAGTCCACACCAGTGCAGACCTTCCTGACCACGTTGCTGCGCTCCCGCTGCTGCCTCTCAGCCTCTCGCATCTGCCCTGTCAGCTCCATCATAAGTGTCTCCAGCACCATCTCAGCAGGGCTCCTGGAGGACAGCCGGGATGGGGACTTGTTCCACCGAAGCCATGAGATGAGGGACATGGCCCTGGTCCTGCTGAGACAGGACAGGTGTGCGTCTTTCCTGGGCCCCTCTGTTAGTTAGGGTGGGGAACCCAGGAACCCAAGGGGGAGGAAGGAGAGCTGGGAGCCAGGGGAAAAGACCTGCTCTGCCCTCACAGCTGAGTGGCCTCAAGTAGGTGTGGGCAATCATTTCTAATTCTGTAAGACAAGATAGGGCTGTTGTGAGAAGCAGTTGTGAATAAACTTGGTATACTGTAAGATCATATAAAAGTAAGAGACTCTAACGGTTATAACAATCCTTAAAGCATCCCCAGGATTGTGCACAGAGAAATGGCCTTCTGCATCCCCGCTAACTCCCAACAAAGCAGGAAACATACTGACTACAGCCAAGCACAAGCTTTCCCTGTGCTTTAGGGGGAACACGCACACACACACACAGAACAGATACATCCTATATTAATCTAGGAGAGCACACACATACACTCTCATACACACACTCAGGACAGATGCATCCTATGTCAGTGTACCAGGAAAACACCCTCAGTTTCTAAATGCCTCCAGCTTATTGATGAAGGACACTTAGAACCATATGGGGTTGACATTAACCTGAAGAAACCCAGCTTACCCACCATTCATTCATTCATCCATTCAGCATTAATCAAGCACTGTGTACAAATCTGTGGAGGGTCACAAACACGAAAGGATTCCAGGATCCTGCTCTCCAGAAGATGCAAGATTTGATGAATAAATGCATTGACATCAATGGAGAGAGGGAATTCTGGTGAAGCATAGACTTAGCACTGATGTGAGAGGGGAAAGAGTGACTGTAGGTGGTGAAAGGGGCCAGAGCGGGCTGAGAGGTGACTGTGAGCTTCAGACTCATGGTCTGATGGAGAAGGGGTCCCAGGTGGAGGAAGGATTCAGCCACAGCACAAGGTGAGACAGCTAAGTGGAGCAGGAGGTATGACTGCAGCTACCCTAACTCATCATGGAGCCCCCAAACAGGCCTACTCAATACAGATTTGATAAAGGACTGACTGAATAGATGAATGAATGAATGAATGAATGGGTGAATGAGCTACTCCATGTCCTATCAGATGTGGTCTGTGCTTCTAACAACAGTGAAGGGAAATGACATTCCCAAGCTAAAGCCTAAAGTGGGTCTTCAAGGTACCCCACTTCCCTTTCTGCATCTTCCTCCCTCCAAGAAGTCTCCCCTTCCGTGCACCAATGATCCTGTTCCTGCTTCGACCCTCCAGATGCAGAGAAAGAGGTCAGATGCGCTCAGTCTCAACAGCGTGGGGATGAGGGAAGTGTTACCTCTGGAGAACACATGCATTTTTAGGCCACCCTCCAACCACCCTGCACCCCAATGCTTAACCCAGAGAAATGAAATTTTAAGGTAGAGAATCAGGCACAGAGGGAACATTACAATGGGGTAGCAGCAGCTTTCTGGAAGGCCACAACTAAATCCCCACTTACCATTGGAGATTTGAATGACCAACTCCTTTAGCAACCATCAGAATTAAGAAATCTGAAAATAGGCCAGGCATGGCGGCTCATGTCTGTAATCCCAGCTACTTCGGGTGGCCGAGGCAGGTGGATCATTTGAGAACAGGAGTTTGAGACCAGCCTGGCCAACACGGTGAAACCCTGTCTCTACTAAAAATACAAAAATTAGCTGGGTGTGGTGGCACATGCCTGTAGTCCCAGCTACTACTCAGGAGGCTGAGACAGGAGAATCACTTGAACTGGGGAGGCAGAGGTTTCAATGAACTGAGATGGTGCCACTGCATTCCAGCCTGGGTGACAGAACAAGACACCATCTCAAAAAAAAAAAAAAAAAAAAAAAAAGAAAGAAAGAAGTCTGAAGACTTTCATTCTCCACTCAACCTAAGCCTATCACCAATGGAGGATTCAGATTACACAGCTGATCCCTCCCTGGGAGGTTAGGACGAAAGAATGGACCATTAGACCCTACTTCTGGGGTCAATAGCAGCTAGGACATTTGCTTTTCAGCTCTTACCTGCTTTATGTGCCCAGAATAAAGGAGCTGGGCAGTGCCGTGTGTACTGTGGAGTAGGAGCACAGGGTTGGGGCTGTTATGGCTAGAGAGCCATGAGCACCAGGAGCCTCTGCCTAAGGCTAAAGGATTCCATCAGGCACAAGGGCTGTAGCTGTAACTGAGTATGTCACTTTCCCTGGAGTTTTGTTTTGTTTTGTTTTTTTTGAGACGGAGTTTCGCTCTTGTTACCCAGGCTGGAGTACAATGTCGCGATCTCGGCTCACCGCAACCTCCGCCTCCTGGGCTCAGGAAATTCTCCTGCCTCAGCCTCCTAAGTGCTGGGATTACAGGCACGCGACACCACGCCCAGCTAATTTTTTGTATTTTTAGTAGAGACGGGGTTTCACCATGTTGACCAGGATGGTCTCGATCTCTCGACCTCGTGATCCACCCGCCTCGGCCTCCCAAAGTGCTGGGATTACAGGCTTGAGCCACTGCGCCCGGCGCCCTGGAGTCTTTTTTAAAGTATATGGCTTAGGTTGATGCTCAGCACCAAAAGAGTGAAGAGTGTAGCCAGTGAAAAGTACTACAAGCCTGCCTAGTCAGTCATTTCCGCGAGGGCTACTGAACGTGCCGGACGATCTCACAGCTCCATGCCTTTGTCAGTGTTCCTCCCTCTGCCTGAAATGCCTGCCCATTCTGCGTGGAGACCAGGTCTAGGGTCAGCACCCTCAGAAGCTTTTCTTGACCTTCCCACCTTCCAGGTAGATGTGACCACTCTCTACCTTGTCCCCTGACTGCATTCTGCACAGACGTTTTTCTTTTTTTTCTTTTTTTTTTTTTAAGATGGAGTCTCGCTCTGTCACCAACGCTGGAATGCAGTGGTGCGATCTGGGCTCACTGTAACCTCCGCCTCCCGGGTTCAAGCCATTCTCCTGCCTCCTGCCTCTGCCTCCTGAGTAGCTGGGATTACAGGTGTGCACCACCACACCCAGCTAATATTTTGTATTTTTAGTAGAGATGGGGTTTCACTGTGTTGGTCAGGTTGGTCTCAAACTCCTGACCTCGTGATCCACCCATCTTGGCTTCCCAAAGTGCTGGGATTACAGGCGTGAGCCACCACACCTGGCCACACAGGTGTTTTTCATAGCTTAAGAGCACTTTACAGAGCATGACTGCCTACCTCCCTGACCCTGGGTGTGGTATGTGGACAGGGCCTGTGCCTTATTTACCTTTCCGTCCCTGCTGCTAGGCACATAGTCAGTAGGCACTTAATAATAGCAAACGAATGAATGAGTGCCCCAACAAAGGAATGAATCAGTGATTCAGAAGCCATGTGGCTGGATCAAGGAACAAGCCCCACAGACCTGACCGGACCTGACCCTGAACAAGAGGGCATTTTTCAAAGCTCCTTAGGAGCTTTTTTCTTCTTAATCTGGTTTTGCATTTGAGCTGAAAGAAGATTGCAAGAGAGTAGCTTGGCAATGGAGGGCTCTCCTGTGGCCGAGAGAAATGTGAGAGAAGCAACGGGAGACACTGAAGATAACTTTTGCCTCCAGGTTAAAGGGACCTCAGAATATCCATGCCATGGCCACGTAAGCTAACGAACTGTGAAATAAAGCATGTTCCGTTTCCTTCCTTGTCAACTATACCTTCCTAACAACGTGGAGGGTGAGATTCAGACAGCATTCTTGGACTCCTCAGAGTTCTTTTCTGGCACACGGAGGCGGGTGGGGACAGCTCCTGGCCCCCAGCCTGCCTGCCTCTCTTCCTACCTCTGCTTTACCCACATGGTAAGGGGCCTTGCAAACATGCATGGGGACACCCTAGTTTCCACCTCCAAGGCCCAACCACACCCCATAACCAGTCACCTCTTTGCCACCCTCTGAATTAGTGTTGCTCACTGGCACTGCCACCTGCCCTGCTCAGTGGCCCCTTCTGTGGGGAAGTGGGCGGGTGACTGTCTGGCAGGGAATTCTGATTTCAGTCCCTAAGCCCGATCTGGAAGGAAGTGCCCACAGGGTCGCATGTCTCCTGAACCCCTAGACTCCTCACCTCGAGGCAGAGTGAGGCCAGAAGCAAGCCCGAGTGCAGCCTGGGGTGCAGCCTGTGTGGGGTCCTGCTTCCCTAAGCTTAAGGCTCCTGACCTGAGCTGACCTCTAGAGAAGGTGCTTTGTCACCTGCCTCCCCCAGCTCCAGATGGCAGGGGCTAAGTGGGGAGATCCCACCTGAGTCCTGAATTCTGTGGGCTCTGAGCCTCTTTGGCTCAGGTGTAGGGTCTCACAGGGGAGGAAGGTGTTCTGAGTCATCTCTTCCCCAACCCCTCACTCCCTGCAACTCTAGCCAGGACTGGAAACTTTGGCAGAGACAAGATTTCTGCTGTTGCTATTTCGGTCCTGGTGCCAGCTGCTCCCCCAGGAGGCTCTTCAGTGGGTCTGATTAAGTTCTTAAGGGCAAAGGAGGGAGGGAGAGACAGAGGGAGGAAAAATGGGGACAGAGAGGCAGGTGGGCAAGCCAGACAGACTCCAGAGGGGCTGCCTTATCCCAGGGTATCCCCAGAACCTGACCCACAGCTGAGACTGGGAAGGACGTGGTGCCTGGAGGAAGTCTGTTAAAGTACAGCAAAAGCGACCTTCGCTGAGTGTCTGGCACAATTTTCTATACCACCTGGCTCTAAATTCACCACTGTGGCAGAGCCAACTCCTCAGTTTAAGCCTCGAGGCCCCCAAACTCGGCTCACCACCTGGAGAGTGGCAGTGCCATGGTGACCTCAGAGCCTTCCCGTGACAAACGCTTCCTACTCGGTCAACGGCACTTAAAACCTGCCTCAAATGCATGAGCGCTGATTGAATCCTTGTTTTTAAAAATTAGAATAGGCCAGGCACGATGGCTCATCCCTGTGATCCCAGCACTTTGGGAGGCCTGAGTTCAGGAGTTCAAGACCAGCCTGGGCAACATGGTGAAATTTCATCTCTGCCAAAAATATAAAAAACTAGTTGGATGTGGTGGTGCGTGCCTGCAGTCTCAACTACCTGGGAGCGTGAGGTGAGAGGATAACTTGAGCCTGGGAGGTAAAGGTGGCAGTGAGCTGAGATCGTGACACTGCACTCCAGCCAGGTGACAGAGTGAGACCCCCATCTCAAAAAAAGAAAAAATGGAAATAACCTTTATCAAGTTAGGAAAGATCCCCTTCTTTATATTTAAAAGAAAAAAGGGCTGGATGGGGTGGCTCACACCTGTAATTCCAGCACTTCGGGAAGCCGAGGAGGGTAGATCACCTGAGGTCAGGAGTTCGAGACCAGCCTGGCCAACACAGGGAAACCCTGTCTCTACTATTAATACAAAAATTAGCCAGGCATGGTGGTGGGCACCTGTAATCCAAGTTACTTGAAAGGTTGAGGTGAGAGAATTGCTTGAACCCAGGAGGCAGAGGTTGCAGTGAGCTGAGATCGTGCCACACTGCACTCCAGCCTGGGTGACAGAGTGAGACTTCAACTCAAAAAAAAAAAAAAAAAAAAATTGGGATAATTGAGGAGATTTGAATATGAGCTGAATGTTAGACAACAATCCATGGGGCAGGGCGCGGTGGCTTACGTCTGTAATCTCAGCACTTTGGGAGGCTGAGGCGGGTGGATCACCTGAGGTCAGGAGTTTGAGACTAACCTGGCCAACATGGTGAAACCCATCTCTACTAATAATACAAAAATTAGCCAGGCATGATGGCATGTGCCTGTAATCCCAGCTACTTGGGAGACTGGGGCAAGAGAATGGCTTGAACCTGAGAGGCGGATGTTACAGTGAGCCAAGATTGCACCATTGCACTACAGCCTGGGTGACAAGAGCGAAACTCCATCTCCAGAAAAAAAGAAAAGGATCAGTGTGGAATATTGGCCAATAGCTCAGTCTTAGGAGGTGCTGAAGTGTTTATGGGTGTCTACAGTATCTTAGATTCAAATAGTTCAGAAAACATTATGTAAATATATATACACACACCCCATAAATAGGGTGTTGGGGCTCAGAAACCAATATGCCAAGATACGGCATTTGGACATGCTGAACTGAAGAAGCCTCATGGTCTCTGGCTCTCGCCACGACTACCGTCTCTCCCAAAACCTGTATCTGTCTAAGATCCAGACCCACCAAAGGGAACAATGGTTTTTAATTCCCTTCCTTTTTTTTTTTTTCTTTTTGGTGCTATGACTCGGATACAAACTGAGGTTGCTGCGGCTTCCATGCAGAGTACTAACCACCATACGATCACGGCCTCTTCCCTTCCTTAAGACAGAGAATGACCGCCACCTGAACAGACCCTCTCACAGGTACAATGGCTCATTTCTGTTCCCTGACCCATTCATTCTCCCCAGTCATCCTCTCGCCAGAACTGCTCTTCCTCCCCTCCCATAACCTGCTTTGCCAGGATGGTATAGAAGCTTCCGAACCCCAGTGTGGGGTGAGCAGCTCCTCTGTGATTCTCCCCACGTACACATTCATTATACATTTGTATGCCTTTTCTCCAATTCATCAGCCTTTCTTGAGTTGATTTTTCAGGGAACCTTCAGAGGGTCAAACCCTTGGCCCCTACAAGGGCAAATATGACAAAATACTAGCAATTGTTGTATCTGGGGGATATTGATGGATATTTATTGCACTTTTCTGCATGTTTATGCATATTCATAGTTTAAAAGGTGGAAAAACCCTACCTCAAAACTCACTTGTGCAGGAAGCCTTCCCGATTCACTCTACCTGACGGCCTGCTTTGTTCCCTGGGACCCCTGCCTGCAGTTCCCATTCTGCCAATTTCTGCTGCTGCACATTTCTCCACCCACGAGCCTGGGCATCAAGGGCTGGCACAGTGGAGTGTGTGGGGCATCTAGGGTCTGGAGACTGAAGGGCAGGCTGAGTCCTTATCCACTTGCTCAGCAAACACAGGGCGGGTATGCCTGTCGCTGTGCTGGGTGCTGGGACTCCCTCAAGAGAGGGAGGAAAACAAGCAGACGGGCTATTGTGATGCCGCCCGAGGCACAGCTCTCCTGAGCAGAAGGGTACTCCTGGGCCTTGGCTGCACAGTCCATGCAGGCTGTGCCCAGGAAGTACCTGCCTACTATTCTCTGCACAACATTACAGCCATTAACCAGCGAGGCCTTGGTTTCTGCATTTAAACGGTGGTGTTAAGGCACCAGCTCAGCCCACTCCACAGGGCTCCTCTGAGACTCTGGTGGAAGACAGTATGTGAAAACGTTCAGTAAACTATAAAAATCCTGTGCAGTAATCACGGGTTTATTTTTTATGACACAATCAGGTGGCTAAAAAGTTCACCTGAAGGCCAGGACTGGTGGTTCACGCCTGTAGTCCCAGCACTTTGGGAGGCCAACGCAGGTGGATCACTTGAGGCCAGGAATTTGAGACCAGCCTGGCCAATATAGTGAAACCCCATCTCTGCTAAAAATACAAAAATTAGCCAGGTGTGGTGACGGGTGCCTATAATCCCAGCTACTCGGGAGGCTGAGGAATGAGAATTGCTTGAACCTGGGAGGTGGAGGCTGCAGTGACCCAAGGCAGCACCACTGCACTCTAGCCTAGGCGACATAGCAAGATGGTCTCAAGAACAAAAACTAAAACAAAAACCCCACCTAGGAAGAGGTGAAGACCCTGTGGAGAGGAGACAGATGACCAAATCCAATGATGACACAAAACAAGAAGAAAATAAATGAAAGCCAGCTAGGAGCATGAGCTGGGCCCTGCTTGTTAAGACTTCCATCCACCTCCGGGTCCTCAGTCAGAATCTTTGGGCTGTTGCCCTCCTCTCTCTGGGAACCCTCCCCCCACCCACACACTTGGGGAGCCTTCCTTTCAGCCTATTTTGCACACCCCTGAGGATAAAGTCTTTCCTGCAGCTCCCTGGGAGGCGTCACTGCCAGCTGTGGCTCGTTAGCTGTGCTGGAAGAACTCTCCATGGTGCCTGAAGGGCAAGAGGAGTCTCTGGTTCCATGCAGTTGGCACTCAGAGGGGGTCCAGGGATGTCTCAATGGTGGGAACCATGTGGGGTGTGCCCTTGGAGCTAGAAACAGGGCTCTGATCCCCTGCGGCAGGGATGAGAGTGCTCTCACCTCTAGTGAGAACCAAGGCTCTGCGCTGGCTCCAGCCAACCAGTGAGGGCGTGCAGACCTTGTCCAGGAAGGCTGATTTCTCAGTACAAAGGGAGCCACGGTCAGAGGACCCGACCTGGGTCCTCTACCTCTCAAGCTGAGCTGGGTATCTGCAGGCCAGGGAGAGGGGCTGCCCTGTGTGACCTGCCAGGCCCGGGCACAGAGCAGCACCTGAGCCAGCTGTCCCAAAGCACCAGCTGCTTCACTGCACCAGCAGGCTGACTCTGCTGACCCCAGAACTTCAGGCTGGGCAGAGACTTCGCAGTAGGGGCAGAGAGTAGGCACTTCTCTGGCTAATCTTTCTCCCAGCCCTGTGTTTGATAAGGCCCAAGTCCAACTTTACAGATTGCAAATCGATCTTACTTCTCTTTGGCATCATAGAAAAATAACCTGTAATCCACCAAGCCAGGTGTGAGGAAGCCTGACCTGGGGATCCTCTGCCCACCTGACAGACATCTGCTCACTTGTCAGGAACCCTTCAAGAAACAACTCCTCTCTGCAGCCGGCCCCTCCCCACCCCCCACCCATAGGGCACTGATTCCGACCCCCAGGGCTGGGACAGGGGCTCAGCACCACAGCATCCAGCAAACACGTTTCTCACATTTTTGGTTGTATTTATCTCTCCCGCACCCAGCTATGAACTCTGCAAGGGTGGAAGCTGTGCTGGTTGAATCTTCTGCATGCAGTGGCCCTTGCTAAGTGGTTCCTGAATGAATGAGTGAATGGCAGCCAGTCCTCCCCATTCTGAGGCAGAGGTGCAGCCCGGAGAGGGCATGAACACAGGTCTGAATGGTCACAGTGGGAAGGGACCGACCCTCATGCCTTGGTTGCAGCCAGACTTTCCTTCCAAGCCTGATCTTCACCCTGGCACCCCACCCTGAACCGATCTCCCCGCTCTCCTGGGCATGTTACCGGGGACGCACAGACTGTTCTGTGGTCGAGGGGACTGAGGCACATCCGTCACCCTCGGGCACTGGGCGCTGCTGCATCCCCAGAGCCTGACTCTGTGCCTTGGACTTAGTAGGTGCTTGAATCACAGTTCACAAGCCGATGCAAGAGTCTCTGATCTGGGTTTCACTTTCCTTCCCCCTGCCTGTGTCTGCTCTATAAAGGCAGAAGGGAACCTGCTGGAGCTGAGTCCTCCCCGAGGGGCTTGTAGTTCCAAAACAGACAGAAGTGATGGCCTCCCACAGGCTTACACAGCCAGGAGCAGGCTGTAGCCCCAAGGATGCTGCAGGGGCTCCCAATTCCTGTGGAACTGGTGAGGACTGAAGGGGCCTCCCTGCGGCCATCTGGGCCCTGGCGGTGGATGGCTTTCTATGCTCTTCAGCCTGCCACACTCTCTGAGGCCACCCCACCCAGCTCCAGGCCACGGCCCTAACTTCCAAAGGTGCAGCTGTGCCAGGGCGTGGGTGGGAAAGACGCTGTCTCCTGGGGAGACCTCCCTCTTACCTCAGAGATCAGCCTTTGCTCAGGGGCAGCGTTGCAGCAGGGGGCCTATGTTCTGCTTCCCAGCCTGGGAGAAGAGAGAGTCTGGATGTTTTCAGGAAAAAGAAGAAAGTTCAGCAGCCGCAGGGCAGGGCAGACTACATCTTCTAGTCTCCCTCGGCTTCTCTGCTGCTGCCAGCTGGCCTCAGGATTTTGGGTCCTCTCTTTGGGTCTCTGAGAAGTTTTACCAAGAGAAGAGACCGAGGAAAGATCCAGCCTGGGCTGTTGTTTGTGGGGTGTGCGTGCGTCTGTGCATGTGTGTGTGTATGTGTGTGTGTGTACGTCCCAGGAGGCTGGAGCCACAGCTTCTCTGATGAACCATGGAGGCGGGCCAGCTCCTGAGCTGCAGTTGCCCTGGAGACCCACCTAAGCCTCTTTGCCTTGAGCAGCATTATCTGTAAAAGGAGTGGCTGAGCTGACACAAAAGCCTGAGATGACCAGGCCCAGGTGGTAAGGGAGCACTCGTGTCCAGATGGCATTCTGGGCCCCTTCCTCCTTCAGCCAGTGCTCAGTGCAGCGCGAACTGGGCAACATGCTCCCCCAACCCTCTGCAGAGCCCTAGGTGTGCCTGCTACTGGCACACGTTTCCTGCCTGGCGGGGTGGGGTGGGGGGGTCTCCTGGATGTGATCCCCTTTCCATCAACTCCCTCCTACAGGAGAGGGAGTGATTCCGCCTTTGCCCCACCAGATCCCTCACCTGTCTTCTCTCTGCTTATCTAAATTATTTCCTTCCCTCAGTGCAAGCTCAAGAGCAGACAGTTGTGACCTTCGGAAGAAGGGGCTATCCAGGAAAAGAGGGAACAGGGAGCACAAAGCATTGATGTGGAGGTATCTGAGAGGACATTTGGGGCTAGCAGAAGCATCCTGCTGTGGTTCTGCAGCTTCCCACGCTCAGGTCTGAGCCTCCTTCCTGTCTCTGCTCTCTGGCCATGCTGTCGCTTGCAGACTGTTCTGGCTAGGAGCCACGTGTGGGCCAGCTTACACCTGAGAGACATGAGGTGGCACCAAAACAGATGCACACTGCCCTGTGAGGGGCATGGGAATACCTTAATGGGCATGAAGCTGCATCATAATAGATCTTAGGTAATGCTGTGCTGGGTGATGGAGTGACTTTTGCACACATCTGGTTTCTCTTGTGTTGGAAATAAAGCAGAAAGTACAGCGAAGAAGAAATTAAACAATGGCTGATGAAACAGACTCATTTTTTGCCCGCCTGCCTGCCTGCGTGCTCTCCTCCCAGGGTGAGGTATCATTCACAGTGGTTCCATCCATCTTGCCTCCCCATTCATCAAGCCGGCAGGGATCTTGAGTCAGGAGCTGGATCATATACTCTCTTGATCAGTTCACAGCACGACAGTCCCAAAGATTGAGAGGGTCACTTGGGGATGGAAGATCCCCACATTTGGGGGAGCTGAAGCTGACCTCCTCTGACCCACAGTTCCCAGGCGGCCTCCACCTCAGGGCCAGCTAAGGCCAGAGTCACCCAAAGCAGGAAACTGGGAGTCCCCACCTCTGAGTACCCCAACACTCTCCTGGCACCTTCCCAAGGGGCATGGTTTGGAGGTCCAAGGGCAGAAATTCTGAGGCATTTCCACACTGTAGGGGAGGGAGCCGGGGATGGCAAGACTTTACCTTCCTTTTAGGAAAGTTGCTGGAGGCAATGAGGAGACGGGCCAGGAACCAAGTCACATGCTCGTCTAAAGCACCATTCTACAAGGGCTAGGAGCTGGCTGAGCCTGGCTCTTCCCTCTCCACGTGTCCCAGCCAAGCCTGTGTGTGCTGGATCAGGCGAGGAGGAGGTGGAAGTCTGGCAGGCAGGTGGGGAGCAGGGACAGCATTAGGGCCCAGAGTTAAAAGACTTTTATCTCCAAGTAGTACAACCTTGGGTCTGCTACCGACCATTCTGTGTTTGAGTAAAAACCATTCCTCCCTTTTCTGTAGCCACGCTTTTGTGTTAATCTCTCCCCCTCTAAGGCACACACAATAAATGTAAATGAGGTCATAGAAGCCAATGTTTTGAGCCATGGGAAAGATTCCGTCGCAGCAGCTGCCAAGGCCAGATGGGCTTCAGGACTCCTGACCCTGCGACACCAGGGAACAGGCACACAGATGACCCAAGTTACAGCAATTTCCCCCAGCCCCTCTCCTGCATTTTTTCAGGTGGTGCCTGTGATCAGGAGAGGGAGGCATCCCTACCCCATGACTGTCCCTGACAGCTGCTTTGACGCCGTAACTCACATGCCTTGGTGGGTGTGTTGACTGCTCATTTATTCTGATGTGTTCACCTGTGGAGGGTTTGTGATTATCCTTGCTAGTGTGAATTTGCTCTGGGGAGAAAAGGTGGTGGTTATTTTTTCTCATTTGGCATGGATGGAAGTTGCTGAAGCATAGTTAGATATTCAGCAACCATCAAATGCAAAAGCACCAGTGGGGCCTGCAAAAAATCATGTGTTTATTGGGTCAAAGCACTGAGTTGGGGGTTCTCTGTAGCAGCAGTTGGCACCACCCAGCACGCACCAGCCCTGTGAGAAGGGGTGGGTGTGGAAGCGTTGCCTTTCCCAGGTTCCTGGATGTCAGAACTCTTCCTGACATGTTCACCTCTGGCTTTCTCATTATTGCCTTAAAGACATCACTTCATCCCACGTTGCCTCATGCCTCTGTGCATGATGCCCATCCCACCTGGAGTCCCCTCCTACCTGGGGAATTGATTTATCTCTCAAAGTTTAGCTTCCTTGTGACACCTTTGTAAATTATCCTTTGTCTATGGCTCCCTCCTCTCCACTCTGAAGCCTCATTCTTTTTCTTTTTTGTTTGTTTTTTGAAATGGATTTTTGCTCTTGTTGCTGGAGTGCAATGACATGATCTCAGGTCACTGCAACCACCTCCCAGTTTCAAGCAATTCTGCCTCAGCCTCCCAAGTAGCTGGCATTACAGGCATGTGCCACCACACCCAGCTAATTTTTATATTTTTAGTAAAGCCGTGGTTTCACCATGTTGGCCAGGCTGGTCTTGAACTCCTGACCTCAGGGGACCCACCCACCTTGGCCTTCTAAAGTGCTAGGATTATAGGCGTGAGCCGTTGTGCCTGGCCTGAAGCCTCATTCTTACTGATGTACTCAGAGTCGATCCTCATTACTCACTAAAGTACTGGCAAATGTGCCTACTCACTGACATTTATCTGTAATCCCAAAATCATTACTCAGACCTTTTTTTTTTGATACAGAGTCTCATTCTGTTTCCCAGGCTGGAGTAAAATGGTGTGCTCTCAGCTCGCTGCAACCTCTGCCTCCCAGGTTCAAGTGATTTTCTCACCTCAGCCTCCCAAGTAGCTGGAATTACAGGTGTGGGCCACCACACCCAGCTAATTTCTGTATTCTTTAGTGGAGACAGGGTTTGGCTATGTAGGCCAGGCTTGTCTCCAACTCCTAAATTCAAGTGATCCCCTGCCTCAGCCTCCCAAAGTGCTGGGATTACAGGTGTGAGCCACTGCGCCCAGCCTACTCATAGTATTAGGTTGCTATAAGAGTAAAAACTGTAAAGTTTTTGGCATTAAAAGTAATTACTTTTGCAACAACCTAATACTTCTGTGGTCATTCTAGACACGTAGAAAAATGTTAGTGACCTGACGGACGCATTTCCAGCTGGGCTTGAACAAGGCATGCTCTACCTTCTTGCCCCAGCTCTCATGATCCTAAGTGTCCTTTTCACAGTCTATTTATGCCCCATATTTTATACTTTGTGCTTTTTGTTGGTGATTTTTTTTTTCTTTTTTTTCTTTTTTTGGAGATGGAGTTTCGTTCTTGTTACCTAGGCTGGAGTGCAGTGGCGCGATCTCGGCTCACCACAACCTCCGCCTCCTGGGTTCAGGCAATTCTCCTGCCTCAGCCTCCTGAGTAGCTGGGATTACAGGCATGCACCACCATGCCCAGCTAATTTTTTGTATTTTTAGTAGAGACGGGGTTTCACCATGTTGACCAGGATGGTCTCGATCTCTCGACCTTGTGATCCACCTGCCTCGGCCTCCCAAAGTGCTGGGATTACAGGCTTGAGCCACCGCGCCCGGCTTGTTGGTGATTTTGATGTTGAAAATGGCCCCAAGCATAGTGCTGAAGGCCGTCTAGTGTTCATAAACGCAGGGAGGCAATGACGGACTTTACCACATGAGTTAGAACAGCTTCCTTCAAGACTGACTTAGCACTGCTGGCCTTGAGTTCAATGCTAATGAATCAACAATATAGAGTAAGTAAAGCGTCTTTCAATAGAAATGCACATAAGGCTGAGCGTGGTGGCTCACGCCTGTAATCCCAGCATTTTGGGAGGCCGAAGCGGGTGGTTCATGAGGTCAAGCGATCGAGACCATCCTGGACAACATGGTGCTACCCTGAGCTGGCATCACTGACTTCATCTTAGCTGTAAACTCCAGCTTAGCTTTCCCCTCCCTACCACAGCCCCTTTGGGTACATAACTGGGTCATGCTGCACTTAGAAGTGTTGAAGCCTACTGTTCTTAACACTTGTAACCATTGTAACTGTGTCCTGCTTGGCATATCCCCCTGCTATTGTAAAAAAAATTTTCCCTTTGATCATTGCGTAGCAGAAGTCTGATCACCCCCATTCTTAGTGATCATATGGAAAACACCTGTGCCCACAGTCCCTTCCTCTAACCTGCTTTTCTGCTTCTGTAAAATTCCAATTCAGCTAGGTCCTCCCTCCCCTACCTAAATGAAGGTATAAAAGATAATCAAGCCCCTTCCTCGAGGCTGAGAGAACTTTGAGCATTAGCCATCTCTTGGTCACTGGCTAATAAAAGGACTCTTAATTTGGAACTCAGTGTGTGGCGCGTTCCTTCTAACTCACTCGGTTACTACAGTAAAACCCTGTCTCTACTAAAAATACAAAAAAATTGGCTGGGCATGGTGGCATGTGGCTGTAGTCCCAACTACTCAGGAGGCTGAGGCAGGAGAATCGCTGGAACCTGGGAGGTGAAGGTTGAAGCGAGCCAAGACTGCACCACTGCACTCCAGCCTGGGCAACAGAGCAAGACTCCATCTCAAAAATAATAATAAAAAAAATTCACTGGCTGGGTGCAGTGGCTCACGCCTGTAATCCCAGCACTTTGGGAGGCAGAGGCAGGTGGATCGCCTGAGGTCAAGAGCTCAAGACTAGCATGACCAATATAGTGAAACCCCATCGCTAAAAAAAAAAAAGAAAGAAAGAAAAGAGAAGAAAATGCACACAAAACAAGGTTATGTATTGGTCAGCTGACAAAAATGTCACGGCGAGAGGCTTCAGGAACCCCATACAGGATGAGGACTGAACCTCACCCTGTGCTTCCACTAGA